ATATATGACTTGCAAGTATTTTCTTGGTAAGGTTCTTTTTTACTGCACTGTTTTAAGGACATTTGTCTTGGGAATATTTTTTAAACCAGTTTAGAAATAGTCTCCCTGCTAGCTCAGTCAGTAGAGCATGAGACTCCTAAACCAATTTTGAAATAATAATTTTCTGAATGCAAATACTGATTTATATAATACTAATAGTAAATGAATAATTATTTCGTTGACTACCCTTCCAGTAAACCTCTTGTTGGAAGGGTAACTTAAGTATTATGAAGAAAGAAATAGATATCTGAAATGAAAAATGGTTGTCTGCTAGTTATAGAAAATTTGGGAAATTTCCTTGTGTTCCATGTGCATACAACATTTATAGCCATTAAGTTTTTAAACTTTTATTTATATACAATTTCTCAGATAAACAGTGTAGTAATTCAGCTACTTTGGGCTATTAAGTAGCCTCTCTCCTTTTATTGAGTTATAATTTACATACCATACAATTCACCTTTCTTATCCTAGGTAGCCTTTTGAGTTGAAAGTAAGTCATGAAAAGTGTTTACCCCAGGAGACAAATCTGTTACCCATTCTTTGTAGACTGGAAATTTAGTGAAAATGAAAAACTCCATGAAACTTGAATGGAAGTTTAATAACTCTATATTTGCTTTTTAGTTTCATATGTATATTCATAGTTTGTAGGTGACAAATGCAGAAAGATTAATTGGACTTAAAAAATTTGAAAATTTTTGTGTCAAAGGACGCCATTAAGAGAGTGAAAGACAATGAATTCTTACATCCTAACTATAAAAATGACAACCCACTTTAAAATGGGCAAAGGACCTGAATAGACATGTCTGCAAAGATATCCAAATGGGCAGTAAACACATGAAAAGATGCTCAACAACATCAGCCATTAGGGAAATGCAAATGTACACTAAAATGAAATACCACTTTATACCCACTGGATTGGCTAAAATAAAGACAAGAACAAGAGTTGGTAGGTTGTGAAGAAATTGAAACCCTCATACATTGCTTGTAAATTGGTACAGCCACTTTGGAAAAAAGTTTAGTAATTCTTCCAAAAGTTAAACTTTGAGTTACTCTGTGACCCATCACTTAGACCCGAGAAAATTAGAAACGCTTCTATACAGATCTTGAATATGAATGTTTATAGCAGCATTATTTATGATAGACAAAAAGTGGAAACGACCCAAAAGCTACTTTAAAAAAATACTTTTTTTAATTCAAATATAGTTGGTATACAATATTATATTAGTTTCAGGTGTTTAATATAGTGATTCGACATTGATATATGTTATGATGTGATCACCACAGTAAATCTAGTAATTATCTGTCACCATGTAAAACTTTTACAATATTATTAACTATATTCCCCTTCACCTTTTTTTACACATCCTCCCACACACCCTTTCTGGCAACCATCAGTTTGATTTGTATTTCTGAGTCTGTTTTGTTTGATCACTTGTTTCATTAGTTTTGTTTTTTTTAGATTCCACATGTAAGTGAAATCATAGGGTATTTGTCTTATTTCACTTAGCATAATATCCTCTAGGTCCATCCACGTTGTTGCAAATGGCAAGGTTTATTTATTTCTTTTTTTTTCTGAATAATATTTCAATGGATATATATACCACATCTTTTTCCATTCATCAATTGATGGACACCAGGGTTGCTTTCATATCTTGGCTGTTGTAAATAATGCTGCAGTGAACATAAGGGTGCATATACCTTTTTGAATTAGTGTTTTAGATTTCTTCAGATAAAATACCCAGAAGTGAAATTGCTGGGTCATAAGGTAATTATTTTTAACTTTGAGGAACCTCCATAGTGTTTTCCATAGTGGCTGCACCAGTTTTCATTCCAACCAACAGTGCACAAGAGTTCCCTTTTCTCCACATCCTTGCTAACACTGGTTATTTATTGACTTTTGAATAATAACCATTCTGACAGATATGAGGCGATAACTCGTGGTTTTGATTTGCATTTCCTTGGTAATTAGTGATGTTGAGCATCTTTACATATGTCATTTGGCCATCTGTATTTCTTTGGAGAATTGTCTGTTCATCTCTTCTCTGCCCAATCCAATCCAAAACGACTCCCACACCCCCATCCCCCGCCCCAATTTGGAACCTTTTTTTTTAAGCTGAGCCATCCTGCCACATGTTGGCAGCTTGGGTCGGAATCGAACCACTGTTGCTCAGAGCTCAAACTCTAAAATGACTTTTTAAAACATCTGTTCTCTACAAAGCAGTATATTTGGGAGACAGACTTATTCCCTGATTTTATTTGGCCACCAGTAGTTCTAGACAATGGAATAGATAAGATAGTATATTGTTAAATGATTCTCATACTTTAATTGTTAAAAGAATTCAGAAGTGAAAAAAACTAATTGCTTCAGACTGAGGATATTTTGAACAATGGGCCAGGAAAAAGTTTAATTGTGAATTTAAGCCAGTAGAAAAAGTTTTATTTTTCCTTTCCATATACTGATACTAGTAAGCGTGTTTGTCTCTGTGATGCCATACAGGCTGCATAGGCTACCTTTTGGAATTGTGAGTCATGAAAATTTTTTCCTTTGTAATGAGTGTTTCCTTATCTCATCAGTAGCCAATGCTAGAAAACCGTGATTTTAGACTTATTGTTTATTTCTCACATTGTCACTAAATTTGATCTTTTGTAATTGCTCTCTGTTTTCATTACTTTTGTTGTAAACTTATTTCTTGCTATTTCAGGGACTTCGTAGTTGATTTTTCTTTTTTTTAGCTGAGCCTTCCTGCCATCTGTTGGCAGCTCAGAGCTTGCACTCTTGAACGAGCTCTTAACCAACTGAGCCACTTGCCTGGCCCCATAGTTGATTTTTCTACTCTGTTTATTCTACCCTTTTACCTTTCACAGTGCTCTAAGGATCTGTATAAAAGTAGTTGATCTGATGGTAGATTCTCCTTCATAAGTTCCCCAAAATCATATTTATCTACAGAAATACTATTCAGTAACAATTTGTTTAGTTCATGCAAAATGAGAAAAATGACAAGTTATGGATTTTGTACAAATAAAATGTGTTCAATTGAAAAGTCTGTTTTATTCTGTTATATCCTTCATGTTTTGTGAGCACATAAAATGCCCTTTTTAAAAAAATAGGGGACAAGATTAGATGGTATTTGCAATTCTAGATTTCTTTGTCAAAAGTGGCAATTCTTTCTAAATTTTTAATTAAAACATTTTATTTTGGCCTCTGAAATCCAAAGGTATTAAATCACTGTCATACAGAGTAATTTTCCTAATATCCTGATAATGGCATAGAAAATGGTTTGGTTTTGAAATATCTAACGGATTTCATCTCTTGTGTTATTCCAGTTCATTGATTGGGGCTCTGTGGAGTACTTTGGCCAAAGGCTTGTGAAACCAAGTTTGTGCTAGGTGACGAGTGCCACATTCAGTTAGCAAAATGTTCTCTGGGCAAGAGATGGATGAAATCCTGATCTAGCCTGTTCCTACTTTTTCAGCTTTAAAATCCTTCTTTTCTGTATATGTGCAGTTTATCTGTAAATTTACCTTAATGTATGTAGTATGTTTCTCATAATTAAAGCATAATAGAAATCAAGTAAATAGTAATGCTTTAGAAGAATTTCCATGGTAAAGTGGTTAATACATCCAGTTGTGTTATAATCTCCTTCCTCTTTTGCCTATCACCTTCCATGAATCTGTCACTTTCCATGAATCCTCCCCTGATTTCCTCAGGCATAGTTGGGCTCCTTTCTGTAAAACTTTCAACATGACCTCCTATTATTGTCTTATTATAATTATTTATTGTTATCTGTACTCTAGAACTCTTAGATGGAGCACATTATTTGGTTTCTTAATGTTTATTAACTGAATATTAGATTAACAGACTGAATTTATGCCTCATGATACATTCCATTTTTAACTTTGTTAAGAAATATAGCACTTAAAAGAACATTGTTTGCTTTTAATATTCCTTAATAAAAAATCAACTGCACATAGATGTTAAAATTACTTAAAAAAATTTTTTTCCCTCTATTCCTTAGAAATTTATTTTAGTCTTAGGTGTCTCCAGGCAATTTAGGATTATATGTCAAATGTATCTTTGTGTGTGTGTGTGTGTGTGTGTGTGTGTGTGTGTGTGTGTGTGTGTGTAGGTAAGAACTTTGCAATGAAGGAAACTTCTTATAAAATAAACGGACCATTTCAGTAATTGGGTTGAAATATGTTCTGATTTAAACCTATGTTTTTAAGGAGACAGACTACTTTTCCTTTTTGTGCATTATATTGGGCACACTACTTAGCCAATTTAAGAGTTAGGGAGAAATAAGATAATTTGTACATTGAGAGTTTTGTGTTTTGGGTTGTTTTATTTTGTGTATGTATATTTGTATGTTAATAGAGAAAACCTTGAGCTGAGAGTTTTAAAATATGTACTTGTTTTAGCTGTTTCTTGCTTCATTGATGAAGAAATTTCAGATATTTAGATTCCTTTTAAAACATATTGTTTATAGTGTTGTTATATGATTACATTCCTAATAATGAACATTAGATCCAGGATAAAATTTTTATTATTTGAAAAATAGTATTTTTATAGTAGTGTATTCACAATCAGTTTATATATTAGTGCCTCTCTTGGTGTTTTGTCCACCTCTAAGTACAGGAAACAGGTTCCTCAGAAGGTTGAAATATTAAACTGGGAAAACAAAATGAATCAAGTTTTTGCTCTTCAGTGTTTCCTAACCAGATCTTTATGTGCAGTTACACAGAAGACTTAATCTAAATCAGATATATTACTCAACAAAGTACAATGGCAGTATGAAGTAAATGGACAAGTTGGTAGAAGGAAAGAAAGACTGAAAAATCTGCATGGTAGAAATATTTGTATGTGAGGCATGAATGGTCTTTTGGGAATGTATTAGAGCATTGTAGATTCAATTTAATATAGAATGCAAACATTTTGTTCTTTAAATTTTTTTTTAAATTTATAGTCTCCATCTGCATCTGCATCTCCATTTCAGTCTACATGGTATAGTGAGTCTGAGATAACTCAGGGAGCACGCTCAAGATCACAAAACCAGCAACGGGATCACGATTCAAAAAGACCTAAACTTTCCTGTACAAACTGTACATCTACCTCAGCAGGGAGAAATGTTGGACATGAATTAAATGCAGTATCAGGTAACAATTAAATTTGTCTACGAGTCATTATATGTGTATTTCGGACTAAAGCCCTTTTCCCAAGATGTAATATGTTAAGCAAGTAGAGCACAAGTAAGGCAGTGAGTCAGAAATGTCATGGAGTTTCCAACATCTTACTTTAAGTTAGTGCTAGAACTGAAATTAACTCTCCATTTTGAATTTTTATTCTAAATTTTATACAAATGTTTTACACAAATAGGATATTTGCAAATTTTAATTAGAATAGCTGATGTATGGTGATCAAATTGGTAAAAGCGGCATGTATTCTGCTGGTTATCGTAGGAGGTAAATTTTTTAATTGTTCTAGGAAAGCCAATTTTTCTGAAGTAGGTTAAAAATATTTTAAAGCATATCTTTTGTAAATAATAAACATTGTGGTAATATAATTATTTTCAGAAAATACAGAACTTCTTTAGTTAAAAAATAGTTGGCATTGTACTAGGAGTTCTATATTAGCAATTAGAAAGCCATGATTCTAGCCCTCTAGCTGTGTGGCATTGGACAAGTCACTTAACCATTCTGGGATTTAGATGGCTTATCCATAAAGCTTTATGCTTGGTATTTTGTACTCACAGACACATTTGTTGCACAAATTGAAAAGATCCTTTGTTGAGAAGGCAGGAAGCTCCCCCCTCACTTACACTCTTCAAATGAATCACTAGCCAGTCCCTGAAATAGTTTTAAGGTGAGACAGAACTTGTGATGACACAGTTGGAGATAAAATTCTTAAAATGCATATGTATTACCAGTTGAATTAGTGTAAGCGATTCCTTTCCATTAATAGGCAGGACCACCATGGGAAAGACACTACCCATCTGAAGGATATTAAGAGTAGTGTGATTGGTAAGAGCAGACTGACCTTAACTTTGTAGACAAACACCACTGTGCAGAGATTTTTGTTCTCTGCTCTCTGAAGGCATAGCATTAAATACCCTGGGCCATTTTCGTTAATGAAGAGAAATTATTAAGACTATTGGGACTAGGAGAGGAAGAGCAAAAATTTCAAGGGAAACATTGGGTCATCGGGAAAGTCATGACGCTTTTTTGCATTGAAAAACATAGAAAAATATGTCATAATTTTCTCGACAACCCAATAGTACGGGGACGTGGGAGGAAGTTTTCTGACTTAATTTTTAATTTATTTTTAAATGAAATATCTAACAAAATTTAGATTATAATTGCAGTGATGCATTAATTCTTAGAATAGGAATGAACCAAATGTGGCAATGACAATATTTCTGATAAATGGTATTATATGAAAATAACCTACAGCACAATAGCTTCCATTACAAGATGGCTTTCATTTTGATTTTGGCTGTTTTTCAACATCACTTTCATTGACTTCATGAAATGTTGCATCTTTGGCAAGCTTTGCATTGCTTTTTGTTCTATAATCATTTTACATTGTGTTTACATTGTACGGTCAGGTGTTCTAGAGAATGACTGAGACATTGGCATCATGGATAGGGATATATTTTAGTGTTAGAGAAGAAGGTGTTCGAATAGGAATTAACTTTATTTTATTTTATTTTTTTATAGCTGAGCCATCCTGCCCCCTGTTGGCAGCTCAGCTTGGGCTGGAAATCGACGTTTGTTGCTCAGAGCTTGCACTCTTGAGCGAGCTCTTAACCAACTGAGCCACTCGGCCGGCCCGAGTAGGAAGTAATTTTATAAATGATGAGCTCATTAGTGAATAATTCTATTTTTTGCTAAATTTTGTTTGTGATTGCAACTATGTAACTGTGGATTCCTATAATAATTCACAATCCCCCTGCGTACTATTGAAGATTTGTCATCAAAAACTTGAAAGTTTTCTCTGAATTAAAATTTGTTTGATTATTTTAAGATTCTTCTTGGAGGCATAGTCAAGTTCCCAGATCTTCATCAATGGTACTTGGATCATTTGGATCTGACTTAATGAGAGAGAGGAGAGATTTAGAGAGGAGAGCAGATTCCTCCATTAGTAATTTTATGGATTATAGTCACCGAAGTGGTGATTTTACATCTCCATCATGTATGTATAAACTGCATTGTTATATATAACTGATCTAATGTTATTTTTTCCTGTTTATGTATATCACTAAAATCACAGTGCAAAAGAGTAAATGAAGTGAATCTTACGAAAATTTCAAAATAGCTTAATATGTTTTCTACTACCTTATTTGTTTTGCTTTTAAAAGTGTCAACAATTTAAAATAGATGTGCATGGATATCTAGATTCTGTCTGCCGATCTATTTTTACTTGGATTTTTTCTTTTAAGAAGGCATATGTCATAAAGTACACTAAATAATTCTCGTATACTCCAGTATAAATTGCCTTATGTAGTGTAATAAGTAACTACTTACAATTAAATTTGAATTAACTAATGCATGAAATCACCATTTTAAGACATAATTTAGAATTACCTTTGTTTAACACAGATGTGCTTTTATTTTCATTCAGTTGAAATAAAGACCCACATCATTTGCCAGTGTACATAAGCTTAAGCTTTTGAAAAATAAAGACCATAAAACAATAGTACTAAGTAACTGAAGACAAAAAGTGCTATTTGAAATAGACAAATATAGCAGGCAAAAGTGGAGTTAGACTTACATAGAAAATACATTTATTTTTAAAGGTTTTATTTATTTTAAATAAGCTTATTGGCTCAAGCCTTTGCTTTTAGTTAAGACAAATGAAAGCATCTATTTATTTGCTTGACTTTGCATGGAGGAGCTTTAGTAGATAATATCAATAGCTTCTAGGTTTGGGGGTATAAAAGTACAGAATAGTATAGATTTACCTTACCCCTAACAGTTTATCCTTTTGTGAGACACCATGTGTTGGCACAGTTAGCAATGTAGCTTTTAAACTAGGTGTGTGGATGGGTATTCTTTATAAAGGAATGCTAAGTATTTCTCATCTCATTTGAAGTTTAGAACCACCAGTGGTGTACTTTTATTTTGTTTTCATCAGTGGTGTGCTTTTAAATTTGCAGTTGTCAGAACTCTATTCTGACTCATAGCTCCCAGCCAATATTAAAAGAGCAAATGTATGTTTGATGTGTAACCAGGGATAAGAACCACTTGTTACCTTGAAAGAAATAAAGATGGGAGAAATTTTTAGCTATTAGCAAGGTTTGCCATAAAATTGCAAGTGTGATAATATTTATATGAAATGACTTTTATACTTATTGCAGAGTAAGAAAAATGTCCAAAACACTGTCTCCCCAGGGTTATTTTGTTTTAATTTGTTACAAGAGTCATTTACATTGAATTATTTGGCCCATTTAAAATTTCTTATCTGTTTAGATATTTAGTTATTCTAACATATCAATTTCTGATCAACAAATTCAACTGTTTTACCTTCCTCAAGTTGGTAGATTGATATTTGCCTCTCATAAGCTCTCATTTCTTTTGATTTTATAATATTGATGTTATATAGCAGTACTGGATTTTTTTCAAAGGTATAGAAAGAGAAGTACATTTATGGTTCTTTCTATAATAGTAGTTAAGCTGTTTCATTATAGCAGTATTCAATTTGAATCCAGTGTTTCATTTTCACAGTAATTAGTAGGTAATATATGCAAATTTAATAATAGTAAAACTATTTCACGTAATTGGTTATTTTTCCTTTCTTTCAAAAATAGATGTTCAAGACAGAGTTCCTTCTTCATATTCGCAGGGAGCAAGACCAAAAGAGAACTCAGTGAGCACTTTACAATTAAATACATCATCCACAAACCACCAAATGCCTTCTGAACATCAGACCATACCATGTTCTAGGGACTCGAGTAGAAACTCTTTAAGATCAAATTTTTCTCCAAGGGAAGTGGAATCTCCCCAAAGCAGTGCAGAGCCTGGATTTTCTTATATTTCAAATAGAGATGAAAGCTCCACCATAAGCAGTTCAGATAGAGTTGGTTCATCTCAAAGATCATTTCAAGAACCTTCTGACAATGAAGGTAGACGTACAACCAGGAGATTGCTGTCACGTATAGCGTCTAGTATGTCATCTACTTTTTTTTCACGAAGGTCTAGTCAGGAATCCTTAAATACAAGATCATTGAGTTCTGAAAGTTCTTACATTTCTCCAAGAATCTTGACAGCTTCACAGTCTCGTAGTAATGCAGCATCAACTTCTGACGTCCCCGATAATAGGGCATCCGAAGCTCCTCAGGGATTTCGATTTCTTAGGCGAAGATGGGGTTTGTCATCTCTTAGCCAAAATCATAATGCTGAGCCCGATTCAGAAAATTTTAACCAAGAATCTGAAGGTAGAAATACAGGACCATGGTTATCTTCCTCACTTAGAAATAGATGCACACCTTTGTTCTCTAGAAGGAGACGCGAGGGACGAGATGAATCTTCAAGGATACCTGCCTCTGATGTACCATCTAGATCTCATCATATTTTTAGAAGAGAATCAAATGAAGTGGTTCACCTTGAAGCGCAGAGCGACCCCCTTGGAGCTGCTGCCAGCCGACCACAAGCACCTGCAGCATCGAGCAGTGCTGCTACCGGTGGCTCCACATCAGATTCGGCGCACAGTGGACGAAACTCAGGAATAGCAGGGATCCTCCCTGGCTCCTTATTCCGATTTGCAGTACCCCCAGCACTGGGAAATAATTTGACTGACAATGTCATGATCACTGTAGATATTATCCCTTCAGGTTGGAGTTCATCTGATGGAAAAAGTGATAAAACTAAAAATGCACCTTCAAGAGACCCAGAAAGACTGCAGAAAATAAAAGAGAGGTAAATTTGAATACCCAATTAAGCCCATAAAACAAGAGCTGATGAGAGAAAGAAGTCTTTATTTCTAAAATGGCTTCTTATAACACTGATATCTAAATTTTTTTTCCTTGAAATTTACAGTAAGATGTTAGTTTTGATGTTACGTCTTATTCAGATGTAAAATGGATGAGAATTAATAGTGGAGGTAGGCACTGGGGTATAGATTGCATCAAGAAATAATCTAAAGATTATTTTTAATCAGCTTTGGATAGAGATGCACACAAAGTCAGAAATCTTAATCTCTTACTCTATTCCTTGGTTGAGTAGTGTTAAATGGGTTTGGGGTTTTTTTTTTTTTTTAAGATTTTAATAAAATATAGCTAACATACTTAAGTGGGATTCTTAAGGGAGCCCAAGTGGTCACGGGTTATCAAGACAATCTGTTTTAGCCTTTACACTTGTGATTCTCACCTCAAATCTTTTTTGGAATGAAGTAAAACCATCTGTACAATTTCTTTATTTTGTTTTTGAAGTCCAGGTATATACTGAATATTCTTTATGTGTTGTGAATATTTGGTACACCAGTTTAAATTCAGGATATAGAATCTTTTTATATAAATGAAATCATTTTAGAGTTGAAGATTACTTACAAATCTCTGGTAAGAGTAAAAAGATGAAAGATCAGAGGGTTTAGTCATAACTTGATTAATTTTGTAATCTTGGTGCAGTTACTTAGTTTTTTCATCCAGTAAATTATTTTTAATGTTAAAATGGGATAGAGTAGTACATGTAAATTATACTTGTAGGAAGAAAAGACTATGTAAAGCTAAGGTTATGGGTGCTTTTGTGCTGTTTTTTTCTTGTTCTTAAAGGCCTGATGTAATGGAATTTTGGGGGAAGATAGCTGTTACTATCATTTTAGGGTTTTTTTGTACTTTAAGAAGAAATACATTCAAATATAATTCTGGGGATGAAGGGAACTTCACACGCTTTCTGAGATGTTGGGCACTGGGATCCTGTACAGAGGTTGCCCAAAAAATGTATACATATTTTAAGAAAGAAAACTATTAAAATTGTAATACAGTGAATGATGCCAGCATTCATTTGATTAATTTCATCTTTTGAGTGAACATCATACTACACATTGCTACTGTAACTCAATTCAACTTTGAAAAGTAATACATAGATAACATCTCTTAAAATGTGTACATTTTTTTTGGCATGCCCGGTATTTTCATTTTTCCTTATATAGGACAGATTGTACCATGTGACTGTTCTCCTGCTTTTAAAATTCGCAGGTTTTCCTTATTGGAGAAAGATTTAGTCTCCCCTGATAGTATTACCTTTAATGTTACTGTAGCAACTCCCTCTGATTGCAAGCTGTCTACTGAGGAAGTAGTTAACTATTATATTTCTTGTCCTTAAAGTTAGGTTAATTTGAGTGCAGTAGTGTAAGCAGAGGGCAAAGCATTAAGTTTAGTGATTTATAGAGAGAAACAAATTAAGCAACACCAACCTGTCTGGTTAGATAGTTTAAAATGCAGCATTTAAAAATAATTTTGCCATAGCGTTTGTGTGTGTGTGTATTCCTTTATTACATCTTTTGCTTATCCGTGAGGATTTTAAGGCACTGTACATTTAAATTATAGTAGCTCCCCCTTATCTGTGGTTTCGTTTTTTGTGGTTTCAGTTACCTGTGGTCATCTGCGGTCTGAAAATATTAAATGGAAAATTCCAGAAATCAACAATTCTTAAATTTTATATTGTATTCTTTCCTAAGTAGCATGATGAAATCCCACGCCATCTGGCTCCATCCTCCCAGGGTGGAAATCATCCCTTTGTCCAGCATATTCACCCTGCACTTAACAGCACTAATAAGATATTTTAAGAAAGAGAGACCACATTCATATAACTTTTATTACAGTGTATTGTTATAGTTCTGTTTTATTAATCTCATAATTCCTAATTTATAAATTAAACTTTATCATAGGTATGTATGTATAGGAAAAAATATTATAGGGTTGGATATTATTCGCAGTTTCAAGTATCTACTGGAGGTCTTGGAAGGTATCCCTCGCAGATAAGTGGGGAGACTACTATATGAGTGTAAAAAAATTGAATTTCCCCAATAAAAAATAATTGAAATGATGAACCAAAGAATGTTAAATCTTAATGTAAAACATAAATATTTATACTTGAGATCATAACTCTGGTTAAGCCAGGACACGAAAGTTACCTAACAGCTGTATACCTATTCCTCTTTCCACACATCTATCATTGAATTCATTAGGAACCCATATAATTGTATGGGTTATATTTCAATAGAAGTTTATCATTCAGTATCATCAATTTACTGAGTACCTCTTTCATGCCAGCAGTGGACTAAGGCAATCGGGATTTTAACAAAAAATTACTTTCTTATTATATAGCTATTCTACATTTAAAATATTCTTTCTACATGTTGGCTTATTAAATAGAGTACATAGGTTAATGGAACCTGCGCCACACTTTAAAAGCTGTTGTATACTGTTTTATAAATCAAGATGATCCCCAACATGGCTGGCGGTGGGGGAAATGGAGAATTTTAAAATCTATTCTTTTATTTTTTTACTGTTATTTAAAGAAAAGTTTATCAATTTGAACATACGTTGTTCTGACAATGTGTAATTGAAAAGTCACAACTCAGTATTTAATTCATCCAATTGTTGTAAAAGTTTTTTAGGAGGTGGTGGGGGACAAAAGTGATGGGTACATTATCTTTACATGATTGGGATTGAAGTAGTCTATGATATTGCCAAAATTAAAATCTCTTAGGAATACTTGTAAACTGATTGTGAAAAATACAGAGCTTAAACTAGTACAGAAGACAAAATTACTTAACATACATTTGAATATAAGTAATGGGATAGCTCATTTCACTTAACCTTTAAAATATTTATTATAGTTTCCATTCTCATTGGAATGGTTTTTTGTGGTGGTTGCTGTTTATTGTTGTTTGCTTTTTTTTTTTGAGAGTATGAGTAGAAACAATAAAAGATATTATTTGGGATTATGTATGACTGGAAATGACCAACCAGATGAGTTATGATGGCTCTGTTTAGGAAATGTACCTTCTTTTCCAGCCTCCTTTTAGAGGACTCTGAAGAAGAAGAAGGTGACTTATGTAGAATTTGTCAGATGGCCGCTGCATCATCATCTAACTTGCTGATAGAGCCATGTAAATGCACAGGAAGTTTGCAGTATGTCCACCAAGAGTGCATGAAAAAGTGGTTACAGGCCAAAATTAACTCTGGTAAGATTTACCCTTTTGTGTATTTTGTTTTCACAATTTTTCCAAGAGATGCACGTATGTATACATTTTAATTAACAAATCTGGTTATAATTTATTGATGTCAAATTTATACTCTTATTAGAAGTGTCTTAATTCTTGATCATTTCATTAAAGAGCATTAGTCGATTCATAAATTTATAGTAGTGTTTCTTATATTTCATTTGTACAACAAAATGTTTACTTTTTCATAGGTATAATAAAACTAACTTGTTATCATTGGTGACCCTTATATCATGTAAGATCCCTCTGAGTCAAAGAAATATACGTACGAGCTATTTGTCCTTGAGAAAGATTTATTGTCTAATATGTCTAATGTTGGGCAGTAATAATATTACTATAGGGATTTGTTTGTTTATTGAGTGCCTGTTATGGAGCCAGGCGCAATTCTAGATATGAGGTATAGAGTGACAAGATACTTGCTTTAGTGGTGGTAGTATTGGGTGTTAGAGGAATGCCATATCGAGGTAAGGGCATTTAAACTGAACAGAGAGGGGCCAGCTAATCAAGAATGAGGGCAAGAGCATTCTAGCGGAGGGAACAACTAGTCCAAAGACTTTAAGGTAGGAATGACTTAGAACTGAATGAATGTCAGTGTGTCTAGAGTATAATTAGTGGGCAAGGAAAAGGGCAATGCTGTCAAAAGAAGAGATCAGCAGAGACTATCTCATTCAAGACTTTTAGAGTTAATGTCTGAAACTTACATTTTTATCTGAAGGGCAGGGGAATGAAATGATCTTATTTATATATTGGCTGTTCTGTGGAGAATGGATTTTGGGGGCCAAGAGTAGAAGCAGGGAGGCCAACCAGGAATCTCTTGTGACCAACCAGAAATCTGTCTTACAAGAGGCGGTGGTGGTGAAGGTGGTGGAAATGGACGGCTTCAGGTGTGGTTTGGAGATAGATCCTGTAAGACTTGCCAGTGGATTGGATGTGACGTAAAGGAGAAAGCACCGTCAGGGAAGCTCCTATTTTTGCCATGAACAGCTAAGTAAGTGGTAGGGTCATTCACTGAAATGAAGAAGAAACGGAATAAGTTTGGCCCAAGAAATCACGAGTTCTAGTTTGGAAATATATATGAACTGCTTATTAGATAACCACATGGAAGTGCCAACTAGGCAGTTAGCTAGACAAGCCTAGTATTTCAGGGGGTACCAGCACTGAAAATTACAGTTTGGGGACTCATAAGTACATAAGTAATATTTTAAGCATTGGGATTAGAGCAAGAACAGATATTGAAGAAATGAGCCCAGAACAGAGCCCTGGGGGCACCCAGGTATTTAGTGGGAACAGAGAAGGAACCTCAGTTTGGTAAAAGAAAACTAAGAAAATGGAACATTAAGTAAGGCCAAAAGAGGAAAGTATTATAAGAACAAAGAAATGACAGTTGGGTTTGGTAGCACGAATGTCCTTGGTAGCTTGCCTCCGTGGAGTGGTGGGGATCAGAACATGACTAGGTTGGTCTGAGGAGAGAAAACGAGGTCAGAGAGAAAATATAGACCGACCCTTCTTTGAATAAGCTTTATTGGTAAGGAGATTGGAGCTATAAAAGGAATTGGAGGGCTATATGGATGGGGTCATGGGACATGTATTTGTTTTGGTTTATTTTGAGGTAGGAGATTTTAGGGCATTTAAAAAATTTTAACAATAAATAACAATGGAGAGAAAAAAAATATGAAAAGAGAGAAAGATGGGATCCAGAGCCCAAGTTGAGTAGTCTTTAATAAGAAAAAGGATACTTCATCTCAAGAAGGCTAGTGTTGGTATGGATGTTGATTGGTTTGTTGCTTTGGTGAGAATATAATTGTTTCTGTTTTCTTAGTAAAGGGAGGTAAGGTCTTTAGCTGATTAGGGGACAGTTTAAGAGATTTTGTGTTGTAGGGGGAAATAACAATTGAAAATGTTTTCAGGAAATAGTGTTCATAAAAATCAGTGACCATGAATGTTACTTGAAAGTGAGATACAGGGCCGGCCGAGTGGCATGTTGGTTAAGAGTTGGCTTGGGACGCCAGTTCTGAGCAGCAGGGCCCCAGTTCAGATTCCATGTGAGGCCCAGTGACGCTGCGTCCTCTACAGCTAAGATGGTGAACAACAGCTCAACCTGGAGCTGGGCTGCCATGAGTCGCCGGTGACGGTGTAGGCTGCAGCCCCTGCTGCAGTGGGCTGCCATAAGCTACCATGTGTGGCTGGCAGCCAGCATGAGCGGGTGGCAGCCGGTGTGAGCTGCCAAGAGCCGCGGTGAGCAGCCGTCCACAGGCCGGCAATCGATCTGCCTCACCTGGGAAGAGCGCAATGATAATACCAACATGG